TATCGACCACCGATACAACTCTACGCACGCTTAACGCTCGCTTTACCTAGAACAAGTATAAAACTAGAAGTACTTTGTAGGTGTTGTTGGAAAGGTTTGCAAGATAATAAAGAGCGCGTAAATAAAAAGTAGGGGTTGTTTAGATGAAGACACAACTAAGTTAGTTTTAGTAGAGAGCTTGTTGTCACACAAGAAAGTTATTTGTCCCTAGGCAATCCATAACTAGACCGGTAAACATTATTACAATTTTATTTGAGGGAGATGCATAAGCTAACACACTTTCTCTTCTTGGATCATATGCACTTATGATTGAAACTCTAGCAAGCATCCGCAACTACTAAAGATCATTAAGGTAAAACCCAACCATAGCATTAAAGTATCAAGTCCTCTTTATTCCCATACGCAAATAACCTACTTACTCGAGTCTGTGCCTCTGTCACTCACGTCATCCACCATAAGCAAATCATGAACATATTTCAAACCTTATAGCGGGGATCCCTCATGCTTGTGCGACACAGAGAGCAACATAGGACAACACCAATAATAAAACATGCAATTCAAACCAATCACGATCATCAATTAACCCATAGGACAAAACGGATCTACTCAAACATCATAGGACAGCCATACATCATTGAGAAATAATATATAACATTGAGCACCATGTTTAAGTAGAGATTATAGCGGGTAAAAGAGGGGTTACACCGCTGCATATAGGGGGGAAGAGTTGGTGATGACGGCGGTGAAGTTGTTGGTGTAGATCGTTGTCGCGATGATAGCCCCGGCGGCGTTCCAACGCCACCAGGAGAGAAGGGGAGAGAGCCCCCCTTCTTCTTCTTCTTCCTTGACCTTCTCCCTAGATGGGAGAAGGATTTTTCCTCTGGTCCTTGGTCTCCATGGCATGGGAGGGGCGAGAGCCCCTCCGAGATTGGATATGTCTCTCTGTCTCTCTCTGTTTATGCGTTCCAGATTCTGGCCTTTCACCGTTTCTTATATTTCCGGAGATCCGTAACTCCGATTGGATTGAAATTTGAACACGATTTTTATCCGGATATTAGCTTTCTTGCGGCGAAAGAAGGGCACCAACCGCCTTACGGGGTGTCCACGAGGGTCAGGGGCGCGCCTGCCCCCCTGCCTCATGGCCCCCTCGGGCATCGTCTCGCGGTTATTCCACTTCTCAAAATTCACATATATTCCAAAAAAATCTCCATCAGTTTTTATCCCGTTTGGACTCCGTTTGATATGGATTTTCTACGAAACAAAAAACATGCAATAAGCAGGAACTGGCACTGGGCACTGAATCAATATGTTAGTCCCAAAAATAGTATAAAAAGTTGCCAAAAGTATATGAAAATTGTATAATATTGACATGAAACAATAAAAAATTATAGATACGACGGAGACATATCAGCTATAAGACCTCCGAGGAGCCCCCTTGAGGAGGGGGTCAGCTCATTCATCACCCACACCCACACACATGCAAGGAGAAGAGGAGAGCTAGCTCCTACTTTCTTCTCCATCCATAGAGCTAAAGGAGCAACATTAACATTGTAGTTCTTGTGATTCCTATAGTCAATTCGGCAGGACTAGGGGTGTTACCTCCCTCGGAGAGGCCCCGAACCTGGGTGCCATGTCACCATTTTTTTGACCTAAAATACGTTCAGGGTTCATTTTAGACTGGGATTAAAGAGTTGAGTGTGCTGATTCTCGGAATTTGGAGTTCGGGGGTCCGATATAGCCATTGGCTCTGTTTGGATACTCTAACTTAGCTAAATGCTAGAGTTAGTTTTTAGCTCATGACTAACCTTGAACTAACTCTATCGGAAGTGGTGTTTGGATGACAGGGTTAGATGGCAATAAGTGCACTAGGAGAACTAGCTCCAATTAGCACCTCTTGGGTGGGATAGTTTTTTGATGGGTTATAGATGCAACTAGCTCAAACTAGCCCTCATATTGGATACTTTAGGGCTATTTGAGCCCAAATTAGCTCAAACCAACTCTAACTCATGGATCCAAACAGGGCCATCGTCTATCGATTTAGAGCAACTCCAACGGGTCGACCCAAATGGACAACGATTTCGTCCGTATTTTGTCCGTTTGGGTCGACCGCCCGCCCGACGTCCGCCCTCTTTTTAAATTTGGGTATGTGCCGGCGTGGCCGGCTGGCCGCCCAATATTACATTGATTTGCATTCAAATATATTGTCAAATAACATAGGGGACGGCCGGTGAGGGGAGTCGCGGCGCGCAAAGACCCAGCTAGCGTCCGACGAGCGCGCCGGTGAGGATCTGGTCGAGGCGGCGAGGCGACTTCTTGGCCGCGGGGCGGCGGTGGGAAGTAGCTTGCTCCCCGGCGGCAAGACGGCGGTGGCGTGCGACCGGGGAGTGGGTGGCGTTGCTGGGCGGATGTGGAGGCAGCGGCGGCTGGCAGAGTCATCGACAAAAATAGATGGCGGCGTCGGCGACGAAGGAGGCAGGCGAGGGTTGTTGTTGGCTGGGGGTGAGGGGGGGCCAATGAGCCACCGACCAGCGGGCCCGGGGAGAGGAGAAGGCGAGTATGCACGCGTCCGTCGCGTGTCCGCGCCGACGCAAATCCGGCTCAAAAATGGATCGGAAATGGGTCGCGCGCGGACCAAAAGCGGACGCGACTCCGTTTGGGTCGGCCCGTTGAGCCGCATTTTATGTCTGCGCCGACCTAAACAGACGACAGCGAACGAAATGAATCGCCCCATTAAAGTTGCTCTTAGGGTTTATTTTAGAAAAAAAAATCAGAGACAGAAAGGGCGCGAATAATAACTACGCAAACCAGGCCTCCGCATGCAGCTGCACGAGCGGTCATCTCGTCAGCAGCACGTACGCTGCACCGCGCAGCGCGCAGGTAGGCGAAACGTGTAGCAGGACCGACCAGCAGGAGCCGTCCCGTCGGCCGGCCGGGGCCCCGCTCGCCGTCAGGTCTCGTCGTGTCGGCGCCCCTCCCCCGCCCGCCTTTCCACGCAGCGGCACCGCAGCTGGGAAAAGCAGGAGGAAAACGGCGGGGCCTCCGTGTCGGCAGCGCCGGCCGTCGGCCATGCATGCATGCATGGAGCGTCGTGCGCGTGGGTGGTGAGAAGAGAACGCGAGGCCGCCGCGGCCGGTTCGCGTGCACGGCAAAGCGGTACCAGTAGTCCCGCACATACGTGCCCACATTAGCCGTGCCCGTGCCCGTGGAGAGCACATGATTGAGTGCGTCGTTGTTCCGGCCCGGTAAGTACAATTCCCTGAAGCGATATACATGACCTGTTGCCTGTACGTACTGTTCCTACGAGACCAAATAAAACTGTGACACCACGTACATATACAAAATGCAAGAAGAACCCTACTCCATTTTTTTCTGGAAAAAACATCCGATCTATTTTTTTCAATCATGCCAGTACAATGAACACTAGAAATAATAAAAATTACATTCAGATCCGTAGACTGCCTAGCGACGATTACAAGCACTGAAGCGAGCTGAAGGCGCGTCGCCGTCATCGCCCCTCCCTAATTGGTGTCGGGCAAAACTTGTTGTAATAGTCAGTTAGGAAGTCGTCGTGCGAAGGCCCCGTAGGACCAGCACACCAAAATAGCACCCGTCGTCGATGAAGTGTAGCGTAGATCGAAAGGATCCAATCTAAAGACACACAAATATAGACGAACGACAACTGGATCCGAGCAAAATCCATCAAAAACAGATTCGTCAAAGACACACCTCCGGACATCCATCAACATTGTTAGACGCACCATCGAAACGGGAGTTAGGCGGAAAGAATCTTATTCCATCTTCGTAGAGCCGCTGCCGTTTCGCCTTCCGAGCAAGGCGTAAACCCTAACAAAAAGTGAAGAAACGTCTAAAAATGAAGCCCACCTACCGGCAAGAGACGACATCCACTGCACCCCATGACCTTAAGGCCACCAAACACTAGGCGGACCGATGACGACGTCCACGATAGGTAGAGGAACCCTATTTTTTTTGTGAGAGGAGGCGGTTGTGTGGTACTCCGTCTGTTCCATAATGTAGTGCATATAGATTTTTCTTAAAGTCAAACTTTATCAAAAAATATGCGAGAAAAACTTTGCAAACTTTGACCAAATTTAAAAAAGAACTTTTTATATCTACAACACAAAAATGTATACAATATGAAAGTACATCTTGTGATGTATGTATCTAATGAAGTGTATTGGGTAGTCTAGTTGTCTATGTTTTTCTCTACAAACTTGATCAGAGTTAGTTAAATTTCACTTCTTAAAAAATTTATACGTGGAACGGAGGGAGTACTACTAACACTTGGGAACTGGCGGCACGTTCTCCGAAAGTTAACATGGGTTATCATGGTGAGGTACTATGGAATGGATCAACATAAAAATCAAACATGCAACCCCATCACCACAGGAGGATCACCAGCACCAGCAGTGCACGTCTACTACACCCCTACACCGCAAGCCCAGCCCGGTGCAGTGAGCCCAGTGACCCACCGCCGAGAGAAGCACTGCACGGAGTACGAGCGCGCACCCGTTCCACTCCGCGCCACCCGCTGCCCCCTCGTGCAACCGGTCGCCCCGACCGAGGTACCCTGGCCCGTCCATCGCGCATCGGACGGCGCGGGTACGCCCGGCGTCATCAGTCATGGTCCGCGCGCGGGCCCGCCAGCCCCCGTGAGGAAAGGGACGAATCCTCGTACGACGAGAGGGGGCCCGGGGCCGGGAGGTGGAGACAATGACGGGAGTGCCCCTGCACGTGCTCGCGCCAGCCTCAGTCGCTCCGCGGCGGGGCCCGGCGGGGGCGGGACGGTAATTTTCCCCGGCGCCGGTGGTGATTTCCAGCGGTCTCGTGTCACACGTACCGACGTACGCATACGAGGAGGGCTGGGGTGGACTTTTGTGTTGGCACCTCGATTGCTCTCTTATTTGCGTCTTCAGCCCTAGGTTCATGTTCTTTTCTTTTTCCATGGATGCTTTTTTCTGAAACATGTTTGGCTCGTAGGCATGGAAAATAACACTTCCTTCGTTTCAAAGTAAGTGTTCAAATTTTAGTTTAAATAAATTTAAATTTAAACAGGTGAAAAACATGTTGGGGGTGACTCACACATAGTGTGAATGCTTAATGCATCTTGACTCACCTGTTGACTCGACTTTCGAGGTGGAAAAGAAATTTAAAGTAAAAATAACAACCATCCACTATCAAGGAGACACTGGAACCTAAATTTATTTTGACAATCCTACCTTTTCTCGTAGAAGACTAGCAAGACTTGACCGAGCTAGCAGTTTTTCTTGTGTTTTATGCACACCTTGTTAGGTGTGTTTATTGTACTCCACCATGGATTCTTACTTTGCAACACTTTTGACCCCTAAATAAGATAAGGCCGACTTTTTTTTTTTGCGGGCAAGATAAGGCCATCTTAATATGTTTTTTTTGACTATGTGACAAGTGTAAGACTAGGGTAGCTAAGCTAGTAACAAGTGGCAGTGACTCGTAAGCAATTGACAAAGTTAGTTCAAATTCAATGCATATTGACCCATCACTTCCGTGCTCAAGGTGAAACGAAAAGTTGAAATCACGCCACATCTTGTCTTATGTAGGCGAAACATTGATTATGCCCATGTTTGATAGCTTGGTTCTCAGTAAAAAGCATCTCTACTCATTTATTTGTGTATCATAAAGTATGCTGGATGTGAAAAGCTCAACTCATACGAGTGACTGTAGTACAAAGCCGAAGTTTGAATGTTTTTGTTGAATACAATTAAAGCTCTTGCAAAGGGGCAAACTAGAAACAAAATGGCAAGTAAAAAAACTAAACTTAAATATTCTTTTACACAGACACACCCAATCGCAAATTGTGTGTGTGTGGAAAAAGGAGCAAAAATTCCCAGAGCAACCAAAAACGTAATTCAAGCTATTGCAAGGGGGCAAAGCAGAAAAAGAAATTCATCCGATCGTTTTTTTACACCCCCTACGAGAAGAGAGAACCTCTTCCCTCCTCCGCTGCACACTAAACCCGAAACGGAAAAAAAGAAAAGAAATTCCCACCACTTCTCGGCCTCCGCTCCCTCGATCCAGCCATGGCCGCCTAGCCCGCCCCGCCCCGCCCCGCTAGGGTTCCGCCCGCACCGACGCGCCCTCCGCCTCCGCGGCCGCCCTCCCCTTCTCCGCCGCGCGCCCAGCTCCCGCCCCGTGGCCGCGGCGTCCGATTCGGCCGCCGGGTGGGGTCTGGTCCGGCCGCCGTGGTGTCTGGTCTGGTCTGGTCTGCCGTGGTCTGGTCCTGAGCGAGCGCGCGCGAGCAATGGCGATTCGAGGGGGCGAGTGGTCGCGGTTCTCGGTCAGCGGCGAGCTGTGCCTCCGCGAGCCGCGCTACTTCTGCTTCCTCCTGAGCTGAATGAGCTCGGGCCGGCTGCCTTCCTCGGTTTCTCCGTGCTCGGTGGAATCGGGTCTGGGGCGGTGAGCCGTGCCGCCGGGTTGGTTGGCGCTTCTCTCCTGTTCACCGGGGAGGATTTGGATCGGTGAGCGGGCTTGGAGGTTCGTTGGAGTGGCTGGGATTTGGGCGCGCCGAGGTGAGTCGGCAATGGCGAGGGTTTGCCTGGGCGGCTCGGGCTTCGGTTAGGGCCTGCTTCAAGCTGAGGCGGCTGCTGCTTCGTGGCGAAGGGGCAATAACAGGTTGGACGAAGCAGCGGCGGAGGATGGAGGAGCTTCTCTGGGCGCAGAGGGAGAGGTCGGGCGTTGCTGCTGGGAGCGCGGCGCAGCTCTGAGCAGCCAGCTGCTTCGTGTCCCTGCCGCATCACGGCGGAGTTGGGTGTTCTTGGCGTCGGTCGCATCCCTGGATGGAGAGAAAGCTCTCCATGTCCGAGATGCCGCAGTCCCTCCCGGAAAACGATGGTACATCTCGTCTCACGGCCCCCTCATTAATTCAGCTGTTCAATTCTCAACTTGTACTCCTGTCTGCATCTCCAGTGGATTACGGATTGTGGAATGTGCTGATCGTGCGTGCACTTGAACCACCGAAGATGCTAAACAAATGTGCAAATTCAGCCTGCTTGTGTTTGCGCATGATTGATCGCATACATGTAGCCTCCATTGCTGGCCTGCACAAACAAATGCTTGCATCGGTTGCTTTTATTATTTATTCATCGTTCTCATGTTATGGCATTATTGTCACTCACTGTGCCTCCTCCCCGTTGTGACTTCTTGTCTGTGTCCCAAGTACGAATAGTAGCTTCACATGAGCTTTGCTTTCTGGTGGTTTCTGTTCGCTCATGTGTGCTTGGCACTTTTCAGGGGAACAAAGGTGTCTGAACTCGGAGCTATGGCATGCATGCGCTGGGCCCCTTGTGTCTCTGCCCGCGGTTGGAAGCCGGGTCATCTATTTCCCACAGGGCCATAGCGAGCAGGTCCGTAGGTTTTTTCAGTTTGTACCACCAATATATACTATGTTTTCCAAAAAGATAAAGATAAAGATAAAGTATAGTTTGTGGCTGTGCCATGAGTGCTCAGGAGGTTCTTATTCTTTGCATAATGCAGCATGTAAACATCATACGGTTTGCGATTCTACTGAGACATAGCTTTAGTGAAATATTGAAGGTGTCATTATATGAAGAATCAATTTTGTTGCATGGATGTTGTCCAATTACAGTTTTCTAAAGTCATTTTTAGTGCAGTTCTCTAAAGTGATTTTACTTTTGTGTAGGTTGCCGCATCAACTAATAAGGAGGTTGATGCTCAAATCCCTAATTATCCAAATCTCCCCCCTCAGTTGATCTGCCAGCTTCATAATGTCACCATGCATGTAAGTTTACACTTCACACATAGAAGGGACCATCATGTAGTTTTTTAAGAGGTGCCCTGAGATCATTTCTTGATGCTAACGCAGGCCGATGCAGAGACTGATGAAGTTTATGCCCAAATGACACTGCAGCCGCTGAGCCCGGTATTAATCACATTTCTCTGTTCTTGTAGCCTGGATTCTGATAATAGGTTATATAGGTTAAATAATTGAAATAATTATGTATTCATCACGAGGTTCCAATGACAGGAAGAGCAAAAAGAGCCTTTTCTTCCAATCGAGTTGGGTGCTGCTAGCAAGCAGCCGACTAATTACTTCTGCAAGACTTTGACTGCAAGTGATACAAGTACACATGGCGGATTTTCTGTTCCTCGCCGGTCTGCTGAGAAAGTCTTCCCTCCATTGGTAACGTCCAGTGAAATTTAGTTTGTTTTTCTCAATGCATTTATAAGAAATGGTCATTATTTTGTACTTTTTAAATTGGGTTAATTAGATAAATGACACGTTCAATTTTCTACAGGATTTTTCTCTGCAGCCTCCATGCCAGGAGCTCATTGCAAAAGATCTGCATGATAATGAATGGAAATTTCGCCACATATTCCGTGGTATGTACTCAAGTTGTCTCAGATTTTGTGCAGCATGTGCATATAGATGATAATGATTAGTATTGATCAAGTAAAGGCTAGTAGTTTATAAGAATCCTAGAAAGACTTAACAAAAAGTACATTTTGCAGCTTTTAGATGAGAAGGTTCTAGCACCTTCTTGTTAGTCCCTAGAATTGTTCATTTCCTTCTGCCAGCTGGAATTAGTGGGGTTTTGTTGGTTGGGGAATTTCTCTGGAAAATGTTGTATTCATCTTTTATAGTTCCCATGTTGCAGAGTTTTTGATGTATTTTAATTTTGTTCTAATATTGGACTCTTAGTTGGCCAGTGCTCTTAGCCCTTTGCACTTGTTATGCAGGTCAGCCAAAAAGGCATCTCCTGACTACAGGTTGGAGTGTCTTTGTAAGTGCAAAGCGACTAGTAGCAGGGGATTCTGTTATTTTCATCTGGTACCGACTACTTTATTTCCTAACCAATTTTATGCTGTTACCATAGTTGTTCATGTTACACCTTGATCACACATAACACTTTTCCATGTTCCCAGGAATGATAATAACCAACTTCTCTTGGGGATTCGTCATGCAAATCGTCCTCAGACAATTATGCCGTCTTCTGTGCTGTCAAGCGACAGCATGCATATAGGCCTTCTTGCAGCAGCAGCTCATGCTGCGGCCACAAACAGTCGTTTCACTATTTTCTATAACCCCCGGTATATTCATCAAAATCCCAATTCAACTAATAGATAACTCTATTTCTATACCTAATTAATATCTTTGTCTTTTATCAGGGCTAGCCCTTCTGAGTTCATCATTCCATTGGCTAAGTATGTCAAATCTGTTTACCACACACGTGTGTCTGTTGGAATGCGGTTTAGAATGCTTTTTGAGACAGAGGAGTCAAGTGTCAGACGGTAAGTCAAACATTGAACTGAGTAACAGCATGAAAACTGTGAGCTGACAGTTTGTTCTTCTTTCAGATACATGGGTACAATCACAACCATAAGTGATCTTGACTCTGTGCGTTGGCCAAATTCACATTGGCGTTCTGTGAAGGTAACTAGTCATGATTCCAGAGTTCCTGCTGTTATCTTCTTTAGTTATTCACCTCAACCTATTCCGCATGCTTCACAGTTTGCTTCGTGAGAACATGTTCAACCTTAAATGGTAATGGCTGAAATTTTATTTGTTTTAGGTTGGTTGGGACGAGTCCACCGCTGGTGAGAAACAACCTAGAGTGTCACTCTGGGAGATTGAGCCATTAACAACCTTTCCGATGTATCCAACTGCTTTTCCTTTAAGACTGAAGCGTCCATGGGCTTCAGGGCTGCCCTCTATGCATGGCATGTTCAATGGTAGGTTGATCGATGTGACAAGAATAGCAGTATACGTGGTTCTGCTTTTATACAATTCAACCAAGTGTCCTTTTAATCAAGTTCTGTTCTGTATCATATGCGCAGGTGTCAAAAATGATGATTTTGCTCGTTATTCTTCTCTCATGTGGCTCGGAGATGGGGATAGAGGGGCTCAGTCGTTGAACTTCCAGGGAGTTGGAGCGTCACCTTGGCTTCAGCCAAGAATGGATTCTCCATTGCTGGGTCTTAAGCCAGACACATACCAGCAAATGGCTGCAGCAGCACTGGAGGAAATTAGAACTGGGGATCCTTCGAAACAGTCCTCGGCTCTCTTGCAATTCCAACAGACTCAGAATCCGAACGGTGGGTTGAATTCTGTGTATGCCAATCATGTTCTGCAGCAGATGCAGTATCAGGCTCAGCAGTCGTCTCTGCAAACTGTTCAGCACGGCCATAGTCAGTACAGTGGTAATCCTGGGTTTCTTCAAAGTCAGTTTCAGCAGCTGCATTTGCATAATCCTCCGGCACCACCACAGCAAGGGCATCAGGTTATACAGCAATCTCACCAGGAGATGCAACAGCAGCTTTCATCTGGTTGTCATCGTATTTCCGATGTAGATTCTAGCATGCCTGGTTCTGAGTCTGCTTCGCAGTCACAATCTTCATTCTACCAGCAGAACCTCTTAGAAGGAAACAATGACCCATCGTTGCATCTTCACAATGGTTTTCGTAACTTCTCTAGCCAAGATTCCTCAAACCTTGTTAGTTTGCCTCGAACTGACCAATTAATGGCGCCGGAGGGATGGCCTTCAAAGAGGTTGGCTGTGGAACCCCTTGGTCATATTGAATCTCGGTCTGTGCAACCCAAACATGAGAACGTAAATCACCAGAGTAATATGTCCCACTTTGCTGGAACCTTGGCGCCGCAGTCAGCAAGAGACTCATCCAGTGTCCAGGCTTATGGTGCAAATGTTGACAACCAATTTCTGTCATCGTCATTTGCATTCCAGGACGGAATGGCAGGTGCAAGGGGTGGCAGCAGCAGCGGAACTGTTTCTATGGCCATACCTTTGTTGAGGTATAGTGGCGAAGATTTGCCACCCGCAGACACCTTAGCAACTTCCAGTTGTTTAGGCGAATCGGGAACCTTCAACTCTCTTGATAATATGTGTGGTGTAAACCCATCACAAGATGGAACCTTTGTGAAGGTATGCATTTTCTACTTATGTATTATGTTCTTTAAATTCTTCAATGCACATTCTTCAAAGTGGATCTGATGAATTAAGAGGTAATGTGGATCTGATGACTTTAAGAGGTAAAGAGTTCATATTAGGTGGACTTAAGAGGCAAAGAGTTCATATCAATTACTGTACTTCTTAAAGTTTTGTGTGAAGTCTTACAATATCTTGAGCACAATTGTTGGGTCACTAATGACACCATTTTGATGAGTGCCAACACACAGTTACCAGCTAATCCATCTTATTATGCATATTTCTTCTGCATGAACTGAAGGCTGAATACTTTTGATATTGGTTTTATTAGGTTTACAAATCAGGGTCCCCTGGAAGATCGCTCGACATCACCAGATTCAGCAGCTACTATGAGTTACGTAGTGAGCTGGAGCATCTATTTGGCCTCGAAGGCCAACTGGAGGACCCCGTAAGATCAGGCTGGCAGCTTGTATTCGTCGACCGAGAAAATGATATTCTTCTCGTCGGCGACGACCCATGGCAGTAAGTGACCTAGAAAAACCATCTCCGGTCGTTTGCACATACAATAAATTCGATCTCCTCATCGTGCATAACATCTTCGAATGCCGTTCTTTCCCAGGGAGTTTGTGAATAGCGTAGGGTGCATCAAGATACTCTCGCAGCAGGAGGTGCAGCAGATGGTCCGCGGCGGCGAGGGCCTTCTGACCTCTGCACCTGGAGCGAGGATGGCGCAGGGCAATGTCTGCGACGGTTATTCTGGGGGCCACGACCTGCAGAATCTCACCGGCAACATGGCCTCCGTACCGCCACTGGACTACTGAAACAGAGAAGACCGGAGTCCAGAACTAAACCCAGCACTCCAAGGACCGCAGCATCACGGTATCGCGACGTGTTCGGTTCACCAACCCTAGCTAGTCCTCTCCTCGCCATGAACTCTAGTCAATAATATAGTTAGACGATCTACCGACATCATTCCGATCATGGATATGTTGTATGATCGCTGCTTCGGCTCTATGATAGCCTAGTCTCGGAATGGCAGACAAGAACCGCTCTTATGAATGGAGGCAGTATGGTACCGTGGAAGTGACCACCTTATATTATGTAGCAATATGTATGACCTGAAACCGAGTATTCCGACTGGAGACCTAAAACTGATCATTCCGGCTGGAGCCTCGACTTTTCGCCGTGAACTAAGTGTGGTTGATCCGCTGTATTGGGAGTCAAAGATTATGTTCTGTTTGTGAGCTTTGACCTGTAAAGTTGCATAGGGTGGTTGTTTGATATGCTGGAGTGCTGGACCGGAACATGATAACATGCGTGCCAAAGTGCAGACCATAGGGATACCGACTTTTTGAGAGGCCATTCGTTTCCCTGTCTGCTTGGCACGTCAAAAGTTATGTTCACGAAGAAGTAACCCTCGAACATATAGTGTTAAAAGTGTGGTTGGTAATCTGAGATTCTGAGGTGTTTCTCTTATACTCCCTCTCTCTTAGTTTATAGGGCGTGCGCGTACTCCTAGATTGTCAATTTGACTAACATAATACAAGTCATATATTACAAAAAATATATCAATATAAACTTCAGATGTTTTATTTTCAAAAGGTATAATTTTGTGTTATATAGTTTATATTAGGGTGATAAAATTGATAACCTAGGTATACGCGTAGGACTTGTAAACTGTGACGGAGGGAGTATTAAAAAAATGACAATAAAAATAGGCTTTAATTCTAGATGAGGATTTGTGGCTCTTGGGTGCCACACACGCTTGTATCTCGGGAGCCGTGATATGCCCGGTGGCGGCGGCGTGGATCGAACTCCCTAAGGTGCCACCGCCGCTAAGTTCCTCCTCTTCGATCGAGGATGCGCCGCTGCCACGGCCGCAGCTCTGGCTCCACCACCTACCACTGCCGTGGTCGGCTGGTCGCTGGCATCGGCCGGAGTACATCATATGGGTGCGGGATCTCTATCTCTCTCACTCTGTATACGGTAAGGGGGAGAGAGGAGGATGGGTTGAAGTGGGTGAGGCGTCCGGGCCCAACCCTTACAGCCCGAACGATTCTACTGGAGTGACATGGCAACAACCCAATGCCAAGATCCGAGCAGTGCGATCGAACGGTAGCTGGAGCGTTCGGGCCGAGATCCGAGCAGTGCGATCAAACGGTAGCTGGAGCGTCAGGCACCTATCATTTGGAAAAGTTTATTCAGTACGCGAGCAAAATATAAGGTATCTTGACCTGGTAAGGTATATTATTTTTAAGACAATTAAGTCTTATTGGAAGTTGGAACCAGAAGATTATTTCTTTGAGTATGCGATTGCAATAGAGAATTCAAAGAAACTCAAAAGAAGAATGGTCTTTGTCTCGTACAAGCACTTGTTAAAATGATGCTAGACAAAGGTATGCTTTTGATTGGGTATCATAAATTTGATTGGCGGCAGTGAGGCAAAGCAAGCTGGTGAATTGAATGCATTCTAGAATAAGTATGTGGATTTTCTTCTTTAGCATCTGTTTGATCCTTAGCATAAATTTTTGTGCTTACTTCTTGCAGGGTAATAAGCACTTACCTGATTACTTGCTAATAGTCCGAATGTTGTTTGCATACTCAAATTGAGTGTTATACGCACACAGACTTAGTTAGTTTGGTCTCTTTACATATGTCACTATTCACAACCTCACTTTAGAACGCAGTCAGGTCTGCGTTGATCTATGTCTCTTTGCTATGCTGACGGCTCTCAAAAAAATCATCATCGTTACGCCAGTTGCACAGTGAGGTACAAAATGACGTCTGCCACATCACTACGCCGTGGCTCCCTGAGCAATCATCTCTGCGTCATTGCCTCTCTCCAATCGTCCAGGTAAGTCGGCTAATTCCCTGCTCTATTTTCCATTTGTCGAAATCTAACAAACCTTGAATTTCAACCCCCGTTCATTTAATAGAACATACTGCTTTGACCGGCAAAAAAATATGAATCTTTTTGCCTCACTAAACCGGTTAGCTCTGTATTCAATTTGAGTATGGATCAGTGGTTTAGAACAATATAAGGGAGCTGAAGACAAAAAAACAAGGAGTAATATTTCTGAACAAAAATAAAATGTAACATGATCTTTTAAAACTGAATCCATCTGGGAAAGCACAATAAAGCCCTGGGAAGATGTTTTAACTACACCCAAACTGGATATGTAGTCTTTGCATGCAAAATATGAGTGAACTATGTAGTGCTAACAAGAGAGGTTATTTTTACTTTTCTGTTTATATATGCAACCATGTATGAGTTTCTGCAGTTTTCTGAAAAAAAACTTTCAACAACACATGTCAAAGCATCTTGAAACTTCACAATATCATTTTGGCACTATTCAAAATATAGGCTCACTAGAGCCCGTCCACCAAAGTGACCTTTTAAGTTTAAGGGTCACTTTTATGGATTTTTTAGTTCTTATCGTATAAAGGTTGCGTCAATTAATTTTGTTCGAAGGGTGTTCTAAAACTGGTATTAACTCTTGTGCAAATGCCTCTGTCAATTATACGGACCCGCAAACCTCTTACAACCGTCCGGACCGCGGGAGCCATCGAATGTGGGCCTGTATCGGTCTGCGGGGTGGTCCAGATGCGATTTCTACCGCAAAACGGAGACAAAAGTGGGGGAGCTTTGCGGGAGTCCGGACACGTGAAACATCAGAATTCGACACTCCTGCCCACCCAAAACCTTTCCCGGACCCCGGGACTCCATCCTCCCCGTTTTCTCTCCTTCCTTCTTTCTCTCTTGCCTTCACCGCCGCTCCACCACCCAGGCACCACGGCATACCCCTATCGGAACTCTGCGTCTCCGTCACCTCCGGCGCTCCAGCATGGCTCTACCCCGCTTCTCCTCCGTCTCTGTTCAACCCTTGTCCTCCGACCGCCCTGGCAGGTACCATCCATTGTTGTAATTTTCACCATGCCCAACAACTGTTCGATGAATTATCGAAGCTAAAAACGGTTGTCCCTTCTTTTTAGCAATGGATTTCTATTTGGAGTACATATATGAGCAGTATGTTGAGTCGTCCGATGACACATCGGACGAGGAGTACTCCGATGAGACAGTGATGCTGCACACGGTCCTTGAAGACGCGGAGCATGTACCCTTTCCGTGCGGCTATTTGAACTTTTTAAAATTTGAACTAGTGCTGTATGCACCTATTTGAACATCTGTACCCTTTGCATGCGGCTATTTGATCATGCGAACTTGGAAAAAAAATGAGGAAGAGCGGATGTATACGGCTAATGTTGGATGGCGGCCTCCCGCATCTGTATCCGTGGATTGGTCCGTCTGTCCAAAGACGAATGTGAGAGGAAATTTACGGGTTGAAGTTGCAGATGCCCTAACTGTGTGCCCGATCGATAATGCACACCACCACCATGCCGACTACTAGATTCATAATTCAGGCAGGCATTTGTACTCGATCGGTGTAATAAAGCTGTAGGGCACATAGGATGTCAGGAGTATCCCCAAACTGTACGTGCGTGCATCAGCGACAAAATTAATTTTTCCGAAGATGTGTTTCAGGTCCGAATTCAAAGCAAACCACGCCGAATGGGTAAACACGGTGAAGCCTTACCTAGGACCCGACAGACATCCGAGATCACGTCGGAGGATGAATCGGCCATGGAGGACCTTCATGCCGTCAGGATTGAATTCAAGTCATCACTTGCTGCTCTCCTCAAGCTAAATTAACAAATTAATAATTGTTCAAAGAATCTCAATCCAATTGCTAGCTGCTTGCATTTCCTGAACCTGTAGGCGGTTGATTAGTGTCATCTCCTCCTAAATCCACGAGGCGCTCTGTGAGGAGGCCGCTGCAGCCTGGGGCTCATCAGATTAGCCTAGTTCTGCCGTATCTTGCTGAATGCTCCAGTACAGGAGGTTATACGATTCTGTCTGAAGATATGCAATACTCTCTCTGTAAAGAAATACTGTATAAGAGTGTTTAGAGTGATCTAAACGCTCTTATATTTCTTTACGGAGGGAGTATATAGCAAGAGCAGAGCCGACAGAGTATGTGTAGTAAACAGATTCTGACAATGATTCAAACAGATTCAGACTTGCAAGCCATACACAAACCATGATTGTGTTTGAAGGTAAAGCACATTTTTTTTGGACCCGGGCTAATCCCCTTTTCATTAAAATATAACGGAAATACAGCCATTTCCAAATTCAAACAAGGGAAAGGGAAAAAGCGAGGTCAAGCACTTCAGGGAAACCCGCTGTGGGCGCTCGCAATCGAAACGCCCACTACAAGGCGAAAACCGTGAAGCACCATCAACACGCAACGAACCAAACTAAGTTCAGACCACATTACAACCCACACAAAGGCAACACAGTTATGTAGAACATGGGGAGAACAGACTCCACAAAATGCTTCCAAATGCCTTGATATCTCAGCCCGATCACTCCAAAAGGCTTCCAAATGACTTTGGCATCTCGGCCTGATCACTCCACGGCGTCACCCGCGTGTGCAGTCGCGCAGAGTCTCATCATCTCTTTAGCGTTCTCCTTCAGAATCATCGCACCACGCTCCAGCTCCATTCGCCTTTCGCCCTTCAGAAGACCCGCCCAATAAGACAAGTGCATACAAGCATTGAAAACAATCTCGAAAGAAGATGACAATTTTTTGAATTCAAAAGTAGCCTGGTTTCTACGATTCCAAATAGCCCAGCATATAGCCGCCAGCCCCGCAGTGAAATATCGTTCCCCTTGAGGAAGAAATGCATAGCACCAAGAGTAAAACTGGCACAAATTGTTGGGACATAAGTCGGTCCCAAGCATCGCCCCCACAGTACGCCAGGCTACCCTTGCCACTGGACAGAGAAAGAATAAATGCAGATATGTTTCTCTGCAATCGCAGAAAGAACAACTGGGGTTGCCAACCCAGTTTCGACGCTTCATAACATCCCTAGTTAGGACAGCATCCTGGAAAAGCTGCCAAAGGAAAAACTGGATTTTGGTAGGTAATCCGGCCCTCCAAATCCATTTATAGTCACAGCCAGCAAGATCTCTCTCCAGATAAGAATACATGGATTTAGTGGTGTATTTGCCTTTGGGTCCAGCAGCCCACACAATCTTATCTGGACCAGCCGAAGTGTCAATGTTGTCAACAATTTTTTTGACCTCATCGAATTGATAACATAGGTCTATATTCAGCCTGCGTCTGAACATATCTCCACTAGCACGGTTCATAAACTAAGCAACAGTATCGTCCTGGTGGTTAGCAATACTGAACAAGGCCGGATAGGTGATCCCCAGAGGTGGGTGGGTGCCAATGGGGTCATGCCACAACCTGGCAACATTGCCATTATTGACAATCACTTTCCTCCCGGCCATATACATCTCCTTTACTTTAAACAAGGCTTTCCAGATAGGGGAGTCATGAAATTTTATTTTCACAGTAGCTAACGAGCTGTTCTTAAGATATTTTGCTCTCACCACATCTTGCCACAACCCCTCCCCTGTATCCAACTTCCACCACCACTTTGCTAGAACTTTGTCGCTCCGTCGCCGCTGCTGCCGCCTCCCAACGCGAGGCCTCGGACGTGTCAGAGATGCCAGTCTTGTCGATGTTGTTGTTGTTGGAGTCCCTCCGCCATGAGAAACGGCCACCGCCGCGGTCGAATCTGCCCGCACCGCGGTCGAACCGACCACCGTGATCGAAGCGCCCACCGCCGCGGTCAAATCGACCCGCGCCGCGGCCTGCGCGTCCAGCATCGAATCCCTCCCCACGGTCGCCACAGAATCCTTGCCCCGCCTTGTCAGCCATGGCATCTGGCGGGCGCGAAGGAGATGCGACGATCTCGGTGAACGATCTACAATCACCGCCAATTTTTCCCCGCCACCAGGAGAAGGAGGAAGGGGGATCAGATCTAGGGTTCTGCCACGCCGCCCACAAATGCGAGAGGGCAGCGTCTAGGTCAAGAGGTAGGTGAGATTTGGCTTGTGTACTCCCCCTCGGCGCATCGCGTGGTGGTAGGCGTCCAGGATCGCCGTCCACGTGGTCGGCATCCGCCATTGGTGACGCCTCCCCCTCGGCCCCATGCGTGATGGGTCGGGTGCGGTGGCGCGACGCCCTGTGCCGTGTACCGTAGGGTCTGTCACATTGCTCTGGTCTGATCCTCCACCGACCCGCGGTGGATCCACTCCGGCGGTCGTCGGAATCCTGTCCATAATCCTCGCAAAAAAACATGGGAACGAGGCGACGAAACCAATATCCACTGACTCGTGCTCACGAAGTGCCCGCGCGTCGATCACCCTGTCCTCATCGTCGAATAGGACGAGGCGCAGGGCATCTCCCCGGAGGAGGAGCTCGCCGTCGTGTAGATGAACGATGCGCGCCGTCGTCAGATCCGCCGCGTATCGCACGTCATTAACAGAGGAAACAGATGAAGACATATAGTTCCAATGCTTAAATAAGACATGATCCGAATTAAGCAACTAGCCAGCCCCGTGCCAGCAGGCTCACAAGACACAGGCATATAATATATCAAGCACATCACCATCTGATAGAGGCTATTTAAGCAAATACAGTAGAAAGCTTTTCTCTGCTCTCAAGTCTGAACTTCTAACGCCTTCTCTTCAACCCTCTCCTAGTTTCAGTGATCGGCTTCGAAACACGAAAACTAGCCCACCCATGTGCTGAGTTCCAGTCCATTTCATAGTCCGTCAGCTCTGGGTGTTGAATGAAATAATCGATTGCCTCTCTTCTTATCCCCTCTTCTATTTGGTGTAAGCTACTCTCGTCCGGGAGGTTGGGCGAGATATGAGGTGCAAAGCCAACAGACAGCTTTAGAGGTGACCAGGCTCTTATGGTGTTGATATAGGCTTCATTACTTGAGCTCCTCGAGCAGTGATCAGAAGCTGAAAAACAACACTTGAATAAAACGAACATCACTTCTTGTGGGAACCTGCCTGTCAACTCGGATGAGATGGTATTGTTAGCACATGGCTTGTTGATCCCATTTGCTATGCAACACATTTGGTCTGGACTCCATTTTGTAGTCATTCGGACTATCTCATCCCAGCATAGCGAATCGACTGAATCACAGTACATGACATCTTGTGTAGGTAATCGAGTGAGTTCCCCAGCTCCAACTTTGGCCATAGGCTTGAACTGAGCTCCAATTGACTGCAAACACTGCGCGGCAACTCCAACTATGTTTGTGCTCTCGTACAGTCTCAGAGCCAACATTAGCCTAAAACTTTTATGCGGCGCCATGCGGTCTTCATAAAGAAAAGCTAGCCTTGCAACCCTGCCATACTCTTCCACAAAGACCGGCCATATGCCAAGAGAACACGACTGGCTTCTTTGCACCTTGTGGTAGAGGATATTTTTACCTTCAAGAAGCTGCCCGATGAGAGGGTTCAGGAACCTGTAGTGAGAAAGCGACGATCCGGACTCCACGTCCCTGACAAACTTGTCGGCTTCCTCGGCAAGCCACTCAAATCTTGCAACAACAGAGCTGCTCAGCACATCTTGTTTCGGTTTCGGGACAACGAAAGAGGGCAGGACGGCTTGGATAATCTTTGTGGGAAAAGAGGGCACCACCTGCCGGAGATCCCTCGCCTTGTCGAGCAGACCATCGCACTCCTCAAACGCATCCTTGAGCTTCTTCTTTAGGCAAAACAACGGTATGATGGTCATGGGCATCCTCCTGGTCCTCTCGAGCCCCAGAGACAGCCTTGTGTGCGCCATTTCCATCCTCTCCATGAGGCGCTCCGGCGACGCCTTCTCCCCGCGGCCGGTGAACAGGAAGGACACGGCTGCGCTCACGGCCTCAGCCACAAGTGCTGACTGTACCATCTCCATTGTTTTACCCCTGCGGAGGAATCAAACCAGGAAATCTGAGTGGGACTCGCCGATTCATGAACCCACCATAAATTAGAATATATATATATATATATATATATACCACCTTCCGCTTATCAATTTCCCTTGAGTTGTTGTGTAGCAGAATTGAGCTAGCGGACCAAGAGCCAACTGAAGAGAGAGAGAGAGAGAGAGTGGGTGTAGATGGATCTTCAAATGCAACAACAGGTGAAGGAGGAGGAGTGATGCGAAACCGAGACGTGTCGTGATATTAATAGGAGAGGATGCGCGAAAGTGTGCAGCAATTTCTAGGAAGCAGCGGGAAAGTGTTTAGCTCTAAGACACGAAGAACCCCTGCAAGAAACAAAAACAAAAAAGAAAAGACACGAGGAATCGGCGAGGAACTAGCCACTACAGTACCCAGTTGCAAATTAACAACTACTGTACGTACGTACCCAGTTGCTAAAAAAGTTGCCAAATAGGCAACGCGTCTAACCTTGCATGTGGTAACCACCATGCATGCTGCCCGGCGTGCTGTCTGTACTGTTGCAGTGCCGCCTGCCGCGTCGCCTTTTCTCTGCTTGACTAGAAGATCTGCGTTCACATGCTGCTTGCGGGGATCATTGCGTGTGATCTGCGGAGCCCTTCGGCACACCCCTCACAACCCGTATTAAAAAAGCAGTATGATTATTTGATCATATAAGGTATTTTTCTTTTTTAAAGATTAAAGAATATTCCCTCTGTAAACTACTCCATACGGTTTCAAAATAGATGACCCAACTTTGTATAGATGACAATACAAAGTTGGGTCATCTATTTTGGAACGGTGGGAGTATTATTAGAGCGTTTAGATCACTAACTCCCAACCTCATTGTTTACTTCCACCCACTGCAACCAATTATTCATAACTATTCAAAACAAGAGCAAATTACTACAAGATTTAATCCGAATAAACAGAAGATGAATCATGATAGTACTAACAGATATTAAACTAATCATGTGAGCTAGCATAGTAGATGAACATATCACATCTAGGGCACATACTAGAAACATGAATTCTACCACGATCTCGGACAAGGATATAATCACATACGATGCAACAGGAGCAGCACCGCCTGCGTTGACGTTGTCGCCCATGTCGTCGATGATGAGGTTGCCGAGGTCGGAGAAGAAGTCGTCGTTCGCGAAGTCGTCGATGCCAGCACTCGCGCGAGTGCGCTCCCAAAAACCTGATCACCCCTCTACCGTACAGGATCACGAGAGGCGGGGTTCCGGAGGCCTGCTGTCCCTTCTTGCGGTGCACGCTGGAAGGAGGGATGGAGAAGACTTGCGTGGCGGCGCAATGATTTGGAACGGTGGTGCAAAACCATACGATACGGTGGCGACTAGGGTAAACCCCACGTCCGAGTCGTGATCCAAAAGAATCGGAAACGGTTCCGACTCATTAATTTTTACCGAGCAGCAAAAATATAGACAACGTGCATAGCTTTGTCCTCGGCTCGGCTCAATCCCGCGGCGCGTCGTGTCGCGGCGTGACGAGGCGTGGCGAGGCGAGCGAGGAGGAGGAACGCGCGTGTAGGTCTCCTCTTCTCATGCTCATACAAGTGATAGAAGAGTTCACCTTATAAAGATGTGCAACTCTCACTCAACTTCCATGGTGGGACTAAACTTTAGTCTCACTCACTTCACTCACATGTGTGCATGAATGGGCCAAGAGAATTTCAAAATTTTAGTTGGGCTTTGGGCCAAAGGCCTACTAGCAAAATTCCAATAACCCCCCACAAAATCTCATTGGCACATCTCATCATTTAGTTCCAAAACATTGTTTATATACCGGTGCTCAGTGAAGACTGTAAAGTTGAACTTTCACTCAGAAATTTATACTACACTAGATCACAACTTGAATAGTGGACTATGCCTTGAACTATAAGTTTTCTGCGAGACTAGGTTCACACAAATTCTTGATCGATACTGGGCTGCCGCAAGGCTTCCCCGCGGGTGGAGCGTATACGTCATACTTCAGGGCCTTTCATGAATTTATTAGAGAACACCCAATTCTCACAGACCGCGACATTTAACAGTCAAATTCATATAGGTGTGTTCCTCAGGAGATGCTCAGCAGGACAACATCTCTGCTTACCCGAATAAGCCACTTGGAACACATTAAGACAAGTATCAACCTGCCATGCAGATCAGGAGAGTATTGCATCTTCAGAGCATCTCCAACAGGCGCCGGGCACGCCGCGCGCAAAAAACAGATATGCCGCGCGCACATCGTTGGCTCCAGCAGCCGCGCTAAAATGCAGAGCGCGCGCGCCGCTCCAGCAGCACGCAAAAATGCAGCGCGCGCGACTCGCCGGTGCATTGCATATGGCATTTTCAACACAAAATGATAAACAATTTCAACACAATAAAAATTTCACACAAACAAGTTGATGAAGTTCATGCCCATAAGTTTAAAATCATGCCCACAAGTTCATCCAACCAAGTTCAAAATGCAAATCAAGTTCAATACACAAATGAAAGACACATCATTCCTCGTCCTCGTCCTCGTCTTCGTCCTCGTCCTCATCTTCGGAAGACGATTCTTCCGCCTTCGAAGATGAATCTTCCTCCCTCTCCTCATCGCGCACCGCATCACGTGAAGCTCCGACGGTATTGGCAAGATCTTCAATAGCATCTTCATGGGAACGTGTGCGAGGAGGCACATCGAAAGACATTCCGCCCATGGCAGCCGGAGGTGCACCCATGCCTCCCATGAGAGAAGCAAAACTCATGCCTCCCATGGTGGCCATAGCGTCGGGGGGTGCTCCAAAGCTAGGCATGCCTCCCATTGCACCTAAACCGCCCACGGTACCTCCGAAGCCACCCATGCCACCCATGGCGCCAAGGCCACCGCCACCCATGGCGCCGAGGCCACCGCCACCCATTGCATGAACCATGGCTCTTTTTTGGATCAAGACTTCTTCTTGGGCAAGATTGACATACTCCTTTTGCGCCGCATTGAAGTTAGTTGTGTCCAAGAAGAACAAGTGCTTCTCCCATTCCAACAACCTAGTTCGCTCCTCATTGCTCACCTTCCTCTCCTCCAAAGCCACCTTCCTCTCCTCGGCCGCCACCCTCCTCTCCTCGGCCGCCAACCTCCTCTCCTCGGTCGCGGCATCTTGGGTCCTTGCTATTTTCCTCACCTCGTTGGCTTCTTTTCTTGCCTTCACAATAGCTTCCATAGCATTTTTGAGCTCATCATCTCCTTTCCTCTTCTTCTTTTAGGTTTTTGTCTTTCTTGCACCCATCCGGTCGCTTTAGCTTCGAGTATGAAACCGAGTTGGGTGTGGGGCTTCTCTTGCCGTCATCACTTGATGCATCATCCTCCTCATCATCATCATCCAACTTAATTGTTCGCTTCCGTTTGTCGCTCAAATGCAAATCATCCAAATCTTCACGCTTCTTCCATTTTTCATCATCCTTCAACACTTCATAGCAATGAGGCAAAGTAAATACCCTTCCTTTCTTGATCTTCCCCTTCTTGGTTTTCCTCTCCTCTTCTTTGAACAAATTTTGCGCAATGTTGTACTACATGAAAACAAAGCAAGTTAGCACCAACAACAAGCAAAACAAAGCAAGTTAGCACCAACATGTAAGATGAAATGGCACTTACTCTATCATCCTCATTTGTGCCACTTGGGTTCAACTTGTCAACCGCCTTTTGACAGGCCGCCCACCTTTGACAATCCGAGCTGATTGTCGACCACCGGGACCTAAGTGATCGGTTGGAGCGGTCAATTCCACTCACGTTGCGAGCATCAAAGTGTTCCTTCATCCGGTTCCAATAAGCTTCTCTACTTTGATCACCTCCAACGGATGGATCCCTCGACACTTGCAACCAAGTATTGCATAGTAAGATGTCATCGGCGTTGGTGTAATTGCTCGCTCTTCCTTTCGGTGCGTCGACAATGCCTTCACCCTCCTCGTCCACCTCGAACTCATGGTCTTCAAAATGCATGTCATTGGTTTGAGACCAATGCGAATTGTTGGAGCCAACACCCATCGTTGACATGTATGCATCATCATTGAGACTACAATTTTTTTTGCACAATACAAATAAGCTATCTATATGTGACGAATGCATTCAAAAAATAACAAAAAAAAAATGAAAAGTTAGAATTTTTTTTACCTTGGAGGCATTTCGTCGAACATGTTGTGCGCGCCGGCCGCCGGCTCAACGAGTGAGCTTGCCGGCACTTCGGTAGTCGCCGCGCCCGTCGCATGCCCCGCAAGCTTCTTCCTCCTCGCCTTGGAGGTGCCAGAGCCGTCCGTCGCCTTGTTTTTCTTCGCCGATGTCTTGCCCTTCTTTGGCCGCGCCGCATTGGGGAGCTTTGAGGAGGAGGGGGCGGCGGCTCGGGCCGGCGCCGGCGCGACGCCACCCGCCGCCGAGGTCAACTGCGGCGGCATGAAGAGGCCGCGCGCGAGGCCGCTGGTCGGAGGAGCTCCGGCGGAGGCGAGGCCAATGCCACCCGGGCTAGGGTTTGTGGCGGCGGCGGCGGGGGGGAGGGGGGTCGCGACTATAGGACGGGGTGAGCGGGTTGCCGACGCGTGCGTCCATGGGTGCGGGTCGCCGGCGCCGGCACGCGCGGGGCTTTGGAGGGGGAGAAGAAGAGTGCAGCGCAAGCGTCGAGTGTGCCGCGCGCGGAAGCGGGCGCCGCAAATACACCGCACGAGGTACCGCTTCCTGCCACGTGCCCAACTGGTTATACCGCGCATACGATTATTGCGCGCCCGCTGGAGCCATCCACCGGGTTGCGCGCGCGCTAAAGTGGGTATATTTACGGTGCGGCGCCTGTTTAGCGCGCCTGTTGGAGATGCTCTCATGGAGTGGGATAATCGAAATAGGGATACTCTCCTCTCAGCTGACCAACAGCTTGTCTCCCACCTCTACTTCACGGGATCTCCGATCACATAGAGTGGGTTACCACTATGGACAACTCATGTGATGGGTCTCAGACTCATCTCCATTGATGCATTATCTATCACATTACGTGATAAACCCTTTGTGAAGGGATCTGCCAAGTTTGTCGACATTTGGGTGTAATCCAATGTAATAACTCCGAAGTTCCTCAATTTTCTGACATATTTTAGTCTCCTCTTCACATGCCTTGAGGACTTCATATTGTCCTTAGAACTGTTTATCTTGACAACCACAGTTTGATTATCACATTTTATCAGGATAGGGGTATTGGTTTTTCAACCATAGGTAAGTCCATCAAGAGCTCACAAAGCCACTCTGCTTTAACAGTGGCAGTGTCTAATGCTGTGAGTTCTGCTTTCATAGTTGACCTCGCTAAGATGGTCTGCTTACAAGACTT